TCTCCCAGGGATACATCTGTTGGAAGGCCACTGAGGGGTTACAGTGGTTTTTGCATACTGGAAAATATAGAGCTTCATTTCAGAAAAATAGCCAGATTTGACCTGACTTCCACTTTTCTTAGATAAAAAAAAAAAAAAAGTCCACCATAGAGACTGAATACAGTACGTCACCCAGTGTTGAAGACACCTGTAGTTTGTGCCTGCCACGTGTCCTCCCCTCCTGATAATAGTCCCTCAGTCTGAGAATGTCTGTGCCACTGCACACGGCCTCAGTGGGACTGTTAGGCATGGGAGAGTGTCCTTCCTTAGCCATGTGGCAGGTTGGAACCTGAGGTTGGCCAGTGAGACGTCCCCTTGTGGGTTTCAGATCCAGAGCGGGATGGCACAAGAATGTTGGCGGAGATTTAGACCAATGATGGGGTGCCACTATAAGGCCACCCGCTTCCTGAAGTTGAGTGGCCAGGGTTCCCTCTTTTCTGGAGCTTGGCTATTTCCTTTAATCACTCTTGTTGCTGTTATTATTGTTGTGCTGTTATACTATCATCATCATCATCATCATCATTGCTTAATTTAACCAGCTGGTCAGTTCTTGCTGCTAGCAACTGCAAAATTCTTTTCTTTTTAAATGTTCATTTATTTATTTTGAGAGCGAGAGCGTGCAAACAGGGGAGGGGCAGAGAGAAAGGGAGAGAGAGCATCCCAAGCACCCTCTGTGCTGTCAGTGCAGAGCGTTGACATGGAGCTTGAACTCACAAACCGTGGGATCATGACCCGAGCTGAAGTCGAATCAGACACTTAACCGATTGAGCCACCCAGGCAACCCCAAAATTCTGTCTTCTACAACAAAGTTAGTTTGACAAAACCACCCAGGACTGTGTTAGAGATTGGCTAAGAACAAAACAAAACAGAGCAAAACAAAACAAAATCAGAGCAGCTTCACTGGCTGAAGCCCAGATATCAGCTGTAAAGTTCTAAAATGGGTATGTGTGGCACCCGGGTGGCTCAGTCGGTTAAGGGTCTTACTTCAGCTCGGGTCATGATCTCACAGCTTGTGGGTTCGAGCCCCACGTCGGGCTCTGTGCTGACAGCTCAGAGCCTGGAGCCTGCTTCAGATTCTGTCTCCCTCTCTCTCTGCCCCTCCCCCGCTCATTCTCTCTCTCTCTCTCTCTCTCTCTCTCTCAAAACTAAATACACATTAAAAAAATTTTTTTTTAAATAGGGGTGTGTGCATCTCTGCCTCCCACCAACCCCCCATGTGTCCTTCCAGGGAGGCCCTGAGTGACAGAGGTTTTGTAAAATTTTTCCATCTACTTCTTTGCTCTGATGCCAGGACTGGCATGTAAAGAGCCAAAATGAAGCAGGGAAATGGGGGATAAGGGCGAGAATGCAAGGTGAGAGGGCTTACAGCATAGACATCTGTCTTAAAAGCACTGAGAGTTAGAGTTGTCCTAAACTCACTGTGTGAGTTACGGAGAAACGGGTGAGCTCTCTGATGTCTCAGGACCACAGCTGTGGGAAGGGGAGGGAGTTGCCCAGCCGGATCTCCCAGATCTCGGAGCAAGCACCCACTTCAACGCCCAGCTCTCAAAGCCGGAATGGAGGAGATTATATAGGATTAATCTGCTGCCTGCCTGATCGGCTTTGACGATCAAGGCCGCCAGGAAAGGATAAAATAAACCTGCATGCTCTCAGGAGCCAGAGGGAATCCTGGCTCCCTTTATCCCAGCCCAGATCAGGTCACAGGCCCGAGTGGCTTGATGCTAATGCTGGCCAGCGGGGTTCAGACTGGGCTGGATAGGCACAGATAGAAAAGGGACAGAGCCTACTCACTCCTTTCATCTAACAAATTTTTCTTTACTACTCTAGTGTGCTGAAAAACTATTACTGCCTTAGCAAAACAAGGCCAATGACTGAAATGACTTATTCTAGTAGAATCTTTTCAGAACTGTTTGAGGAAAAGCTGTTGTTTCCATATGTCATTACCATTGGCAAACTGGGATGTGAAGGTGTGGTATGGTGGGGTGGAATATGTGTGAGTGTGTGTGTGTGTGTGTGTGTGTGTGTGTGTGTGTGTGTGTGTGTGTGTGTGTGTGTGTGAGAGAGAGAGAGAGAGAGAGAGAGAGAGAGAGAGAGAGAGAGAGAGAGATGGGGTATTTAGGAGGATATCTATTGGTTTTGCCAGCAGAGCATACATTCCAACATTCTTCTTCTGGTAGAAAGCACCCTAATTTCTCAATAAGAAACCACTGCACTTTCACTCTAGATGGTTCCAGTGTAGTTGAGCCTGCTCATAGGCTCCGGAGGCGGTATCTGTCATAGCACTGATCCCCTGGTCTAGTCCAGCCTCCATCTGTCGTGATTGGCTCCAGAAAGGCCACACGACCCATGACAGCCCAACCAAGTCACCTGGGGCCTTTTGCTGGGGCTCTCAGCAAAGAGGTCTTCTCTTTGCTGATGTGGTTGCTAAGCTGGTAGGGCAAAACCGGAATCTGCCAGAGTCCTTCACATGCAGAGAACCAGCCTAAGAATAAAACCAACACAGGGAAGAACAAAGCTGAGGTATGGAGAGAAAGATACCCATCTTGCTGGCATCTTTGGAGTCTCTGGATCCAGCCACAGCTGAAACCAGGTCTATTCCTAGACTATTAAGTTGCTTGAGCAAATAAATCTCATTTTTGGCCTAAGCCAGTTTGACCTAGGTGTCTGTCATTGGTAATCCAAAGAGTCTTGACCCAGACAGATACTGACAGGAAAGCAATTGGATCCTGGAGTAAGGTGGAGAAAGAAATCCTAGCTTCTCCCCTGCCCAAGAGTGAAGGGGGAGGGAGAAAGGGAAGAGTAATGAACTTGGAGCTCTCCCAAGTTAAGTGTTGATCTTGAACCTTTGATTATGGACTTTTGCTTCAGTGGATTAGACTTCCCGGGAACAAGCATCCCAAGACTCTCAAAACTTCACTAATGAATACAGTAAATAATTAATACCCTACATTATTTCCTGTCACTCAAATCTTAATATTAACTATTCAGTGATTTCTCAATGCCTGTATTCTCACCAGACTAAAAAGAAGCTCTTTCAAATAAACTAGTTACTATAGAAAAAAAAAAAAAAATACCGGGGTCACTATGGATATAATGGCAATTTCCAGAGACTCATTAGCACATTGATAACTATTATTTTCAGTTAATTAATACAAAGAAATGGCATTTCCTTTTAATTTATGTCATTAGTCAAATGAGCTTTCTAATTAAGATTTGCAATCTACAAATTTACAAACTGGTGAATAACTCTAAACATGGAGAATTATTGCTAAGGTCTGCCTGGCCTGAACTGGCTTTCAGAACTTGAAAAAAAGGGGGGGGGGAATTAATTTCATTCCCTGGCGGTTTCTCCGCAAAATCTTTTGTTAAATAGATTCAAGATATTCATTGCCATACCATCATCATGGTTCTGAATGTCATTTCCACATTGCATTGAATTCAACTGAAATATTGCATCACATAAGATAAAGAATTAAGTCTGACACTTATCGGCAATAATATTTGTAAAATGAAAAAAAAAAAGCTTAAATTTGACAAATATAAAAATGAACCAGACTTCTAAAACAAACCCAAACAGAAATTTCATTGAGAAAATGTATAAAATGAGTCTGTGGCTGGACCCAGCAAACATCACAGAGACAAAGACTGTTTACTGTTAAACAGTAATTAGCAAACCAATCAATAGTATTTGCACAAAATCTAATTGCAGTCTTGCTCTACTCTCTTCATGAAAAAAGCCAAGTACTTTAGCACGTGGGAAGGAGAGTTTTACTGAATCAATCAACTAACATTGGAGTGCCCAATGGGCAGAAGCATGTGTGTGGAGCACAGCAAAGCAGAAGCACCAGTGTTTTTATTTTGAAAATGTTTGGTACCTAATAATTAAAAACAGAGAGGAAAGAGAGAAGAAAATCTGTGAAGTGATCCCATGGAAAAAAATCAGAGTCTGGTGGATTCCTTTATACTTAGTTTATTGTTATTACCTTGAATTGCATATGGCAGGATGCCATGCGTTTTTCAATGCTTGGCAGTTGGTTTCTAATGCTTTTAACCTAGCCTTGACAATGGGTATAACATTTGGGGCATACGATCCCAAATACAGAGAATATCTTGTTCACATGAAAACAAATGTCTTTTAATGACCATATAATAACTTTTGAAAAATATGCACATCAGGCAAACATTGCCCACAGGAAGGGATGGTATATCAACTCCACTAATAATGTATACACAATAGCCAATGTGCACATTATGGAAGAATTATAAATTTTAAATATACTAGTGGAATTCCAAAATCTGACTTGACTGGTACATAAACCTCTGAGGACGACAGGTCAAAATTCCCTTGTGATGTATATTCAGGATATGTTCTCTCACTTATAGGTTTTCTCTTAAGAAGAGTACTGCACTTTGGATGGGGTTCTAACTCATAGAAAAGGACTCACAGCACCTTTTTAATAGAAAGAACAAGGAAGCGAGTGAAGGCACCATCTTAGAAGATGTTAACATCCTTTAGAAGGGGTGGAGTTGGTAGGAAAAAAGCTCCCAACTCAGTTCAAGTCTTAGCTTGTGGCATTGTAACAGCTGTGCGACTTGGAGTAATTGACCTAACCTCTCGCAGCCTCAGATGCCTTGCTGGTAAGATGGGAATAATATCGGGACCTAACTCACGAGACTGTTGTACAGACTAAACAAGAAATCATACATAAAGCAGGCAATGTGCAGGGTGTTTTGCATACAGTATCTTGTTTAGTGGGTACACAAGTGGGTGTGCTTTAGTTTTCCCCAAACAAAATGCTGTTATTTCCAAAAACCGTAACCAATCATCAACCCGTTTGCCTCAGGGGTGGGGGGATGGTTCTGTAGGAGGCCAAGGCTGCTGTTCCCACAGAACAATAGTCTGGCAACTCTGGGCTTTAGGCTTGGGCAGTCTTAACCTTCTTCTGCATGGTGAGTCTTACCTCATAGTAACTCTGGACGGCGTTCATGAAGGCTTCATCAGCCACAATCTGGGTTTCCCCATTGAGGAAAGCCTGAAACCGGTCCTTGACTGTTTGCAACTGCTGTTTGCTGATCTGTAAGGAACAGAGAAAGAGAGAACAGTGAGGACTTGTTCTAGACAAGGATTGTGATTGCTTTCGTGGAAGATGCCAGTCCCATCGGTGTGCTAGACCTGGCTTGTATGGGCGCACACTAGCTGACTGTTACATTTGCAAGAATTTTGTGAGGTGGTTGTTTATTAAAAAATACATAAAGACATAAATTGTTAAAAAATTATATTGAAAACAAAGGCAACACATATTCAAAAGTCATTGTTTCCTGATCATTTTACCATTACCTGTGCTTTTGAGGTTATTAACCTCAAAATTGTATCTATCTATTGTATTTGTAGGGTGGAAACGATAGATAATGGGTGCTACCATATACCTCTTCCCAACTCCACATTCCGTGACACCTTGTTGGAAGCCAGATATCAACCAGGATGGGAATATTTACACCATGGAAATTGGCAAATGCTATATATAAGTCATGTGTTCTTGGCTTGTTGTTTTTGTTTTGTTTTGCTTTGCTTTTCGTGAGAGAGGGTTGTTGTTGAACAAACCACCACACAGGCACCTCAGGTGGTCTGAAATACTCTGCTTTCCAAATCTATAGTCATCAATACAGTATAGTATTAGCATAAAAACAGACATATAGACCACAGAACAAAATTGAGAACCCAGAAATAAACTCATGAATATACAGGCAATGATAACTGACAAGGACACCAAGATACTCAATGGGGAAAGGACAATCCCCTCAATAAATGATGCTGGAAAAACTGGATATTCACACCCAAGAGAAAGAAATTGGACCCCCTATCTTACACCACTCACAAAAATTAACTTTAAGTGAATTAAAGACTTAAATGTAAGACCCAAAACTGTAAAACTATTAGAAGAAAACACAGGCAAAACCCCCGTGACACGGGTCTTAGCAATGAATTTTTGGATATGACATCAAGAGCTCAAGCAACAACAGCAAAAATCGACAAGAGGGACTACATGAAGCTAAAAATCTTCTTTATAGCAAAAGAAACAATCAACAAAATAAGAAGGCAATTTATAGAATGGGAGAAAATATTTGCAAACCATCTACCTCATAAGGGGTTAATATCCAAAATCTATAAGGAACTCATATAAAAGCAAAAAACCACAAAAAATCCAATGAAAAAGTGGGTAGAAGACTTGATTAAACATTTTCCCAAAGAAGACATACAAATGACCAACAGGTACATGAAAGGATACTCAACATCACTTATCAGAGAAATGCCAATCAAACCCACTATATCTCATCACCTCACACCTGTTTGAATGGTTATCATAAAAACAACAACAACAACAACAACAACAAGAAATAACAACTGTTGCTAAGGCTGTAGAGAAAATGGAACCCCTGTTCCATACTGTTGATGGGAATGTAAACTGGTGCAGCCACTATGGAAAATAACATGGAGTTTCCCCCCAAAATTAAAAACAGAAGTGCTATACGATCCAGCAATTCCATTTCTGGGTATACATCCCAAGGAAATGGAATCACTATCTGAAAGAAATAGTGGCACCCCTACATTCATTGCAGCATATTCACAATAGCCGAGACATGGAAACAACCAAAGTGATCACTGATGTTTGAACACACACACACACACACACACACACACACTTGATTATTATTCATAAAAGAGAAAGAAATCCTGCCATTTGTGACAACATGGATGGACCCAGAAGGTATTATGCTAAACGAAATAAGGCAGACAGAGAAAGACAAATACTGTTATGTTCTCGCTTACATATGGAATCTGAAAAATGTTGAGCTCAGAGAAATAGAGAGTGGTTGCCAGCATCTCAGGGGTGGGAGAAATGGGGAGATGTTGACCAAAGCATACAAACTTCCAACTATAAGATGTAAGTTTTGGGGATTTAATGCACAGCACGGTGACTATAATTAACAGTACTGTCTTACATACTTGAGTGTTGTTAAGAGAGTAGGTTCCACAGCCCTTTATTCTAACTACTTGTTAGTTATGATTGAATTTGTTAGATGATATGTCCCTTTTTGTTATTTGTTCATTGATGTCTCCCCAGGGCCAACTTAGTGCTTTACACAAGAAAGGCACTCCATAAGCGCTTTGCTGAATAAATGAAGGCAGTGCACGAAAGAAATCTTGGAATATCCTTTAATCAGTTCTAATTTGTATGAAAAGAAAGTCAGCTAAAAACTTTGCCGTTTTTACTATTATTTATAAAAAGTTATACTCTATAAATTGATAATGGGATACTGTGTCTAACTGTTGTAGAAGAAAGCTTAAAAAAGATCATTCTGGTCCTAGCTCCATCAACCATTGTGTCATCTTGGAAAAGTCACTTATGTCCTCTGAATTGGCCAGAGAGTTAGAAGCCCTTCTGGAATAAGGCCAGTTTAACAAGTAAATGTTACACCATCCTTATTTATCTCACTTGGAAAATGGTGATAATTATGGCCTTGGCATAGTAATAGCTATTTGATAACATAATATGAGTTCTTTTTTAAAATTTTGAGAGTCTGTATTCATTAATGCACTGATTCATTTAAAACATTTTGTTTATTTATCTTAAGTAATCTCTATACCCAACGTGGGGCTTGAACTCACAACCCAAAGATCGAGAGTCACCTGCTCCACTGAACCAGCCAGGCACCCCATTTCTATATACATTTCAAGTGCTTTCATCATTAGAATCAATGCAAATCTTGCTATTAGAAAATAATGTTTAGAGCTATAGGACACTGAAGACTGGCTTGAGTTTTGATTCAATCAGGAAACAAGGAGTAGAGTTTTGAGAATGGACAGAGGTGGGATCTGGGGTGCTTTAATTTTGTAACTTTGGAAAAAGTGAGACTAGTGAAGTTAGGGGCAGATGTAAAAGAGGTAGGTTTTTAACAGATTGATATTTGTCATGTCCTAGAGCACCACTGTCTCAGGTTAGCCACGTGTACAATTTTACATTTTCTGCACGTCTCACTTTAAAAAGTATCAAAAACTAAGTGAAATAAATATTAATACACTTTGTGGAAGCCAATATGTCAAAAATATTATTTTACATATAATCATCATAGAAATGGTTAATGAGATATTTTACGTTCTCTCTTTATACTATATCTTTGAACTCTGGTGGTATTTTACACCCATAGTATATCTCAATTCAGAATCACCACACTGCAAGTGTGCAATAGCCACGTGTGGCTGGCGGTCACCGCTTTGGACAGCCGGTCCTAGAGCATGGTATGAACGCACTGCTAAGCCGTGTAGACTTTCCTGGTCTGACCCAGGATGTGAGGATCCAAGGATACTGGTATCACTGGAGTTGTACAGAAAAAATCAGAGTTATTTGTATGCATTTGAAAACATTTCAACTGAATTATTGGGCACCAGTTGATTTTCTCGTAAAAATGACACCAGAACATAAATTTCTATCAAGTAGTTCAGCCTTCACTGGCCTAAGTCACAAATCCTTACAGTATAGTATAGTGCCAACCAAGGCATCTCACAGAATTTACATGCAGAATTCCTTCTAACACTGAGTTAATACCAAATCTGCACGATCTGGGGGGTGGGATGGAGTGGGGTAATGGAACAGGAGAGGGAGTGGCCACCAGTACCCCTTGCTTTTGCCTTAAATCTCAAGGGATGGAAATAAAAGTAGGCACACACCATCTGAATGATGAAGATCGATTGTTGACCCAAGCCAAATCCATTATCACTCTAACCTTTGTTAAATAAGCAGAGTACTCAGTTCTTCAAGAAATATTTACGGAGCATCTATTACCTGCCTGGTTCTACCCCATGTCCTGAGGTATCAGTGGTCAATAAAAACAATCCAACCCCTGACCTCAGGGGCCAGGGCGAGGCAATAGGGAATTCAAGGAAATAAGGGATTGTTTTCAGGGACCTTGTAGTCAAGATGGAGAGGAAAAAAACATACAAAACGACAACAACGACAACCGCACAAAAGTATGTTTTAGGATTTCAGAGGGAAGAGATTACAGAATGTAAAATGCTTAAAAGGAGAAGGACTTCAGGAACATTAACATGAGTCAAATTCGGAGAACATCTGTCATGAAGCTCCATAAAACACCCCCCACTTCCTCGAACACCTCAAGCTCTCAGTGAGAGAGTCCGGGGCACAGATTCTAGACGCAGAGCTATGCTTATGGCTGGGGTTTGATGCCTGCCAGTCCAAGTTCACTATTTTCCCTCATCACTAATTAAACAAGCAAATCACGTATTTAGTTACCTCACTCACCGTGTCTCACTGGGCAAAGGACTAAGCTCTCTACACCTCAGTGTTTTCATCTGTAAAACGGGGCCATTACTGACCTCATAGGATTGTTGTGAAGTCTAACTGGAGGTAAGTGACATATTCACTGCATAACCTGGTACAGTATGAATGATCAATAAACAGTAGCTGCTGTGATGACTAATCCTCAGCTTAGAGGCTTTACGCATACTGCTTCCTTGAAAAAGCATGCCTATGGGAAAATTCCAGACGTGTCTTCAAAATGCAACCCCATGCTCCTTCCCAGACTTTTCTGGATGGAGGTGGCTACTTTCTAGTACTTTGTTCACAGTCCTGAGGGTACATGTGTCATACTGCAAAGTAGAAGTTTATTTAGATGCCAGAGCTCAGAGTCAGGGTCAGGAGTCAGGATTTGAGAACACAGATGGGGTCAAAGGGATATGGACTCAAATCCTGGTGATAATACTCATTTCCAAGGGTAACCTTGGGCAAACTGATTTCCTTAAGCCTCAGCTCTTCATGTATAAAATAGAATTCTAAGTCCTACTCCCAGGGTTGCTGGAAAGATAAGAAGAACATAGGAGGATGTGCCTAAGGAGCTTAGCATGCTGCCTGGCACAGAAAGAGTCAAATCATACAGCGTAGACCAGAAACCAAATGGCCTTGAGGCCTCGCATGATGTAGTCTCGGTCTATGTCGGCTTTGTTTTGTTTACTCTGCTCTCCTCTTACTCAGCTCCAGCCACACTGGCCTCT